GCCAGATTAGGAAATATGTGATATAATGTGTACGTTTGCCGTATTGTCTTTTTTTCCCCCTGCATGAAATGACCACCTAATGTCATATGCTTATTCATGCATCATTTCTTTATGTTCACTATTATTTAGCCTTATACTAACCTATAGATTTTTATGTTTAGTAATTAAATAATCAGAACCAAAGTGGTATGATGGTAGAATTATTGGATTAAAACTTGGGAGGCTCAGGTTTGAAACTGGCAAATTACTACTACAGTGTTGTAGATGACCAGGTTGAGCCAGAGGGAGAGGTCATATACGTCATCAGTCCCTTCGTGCCTGCAAGAGATCTAAGTCCAGCCCATCTTGAATTCCTTTATCTACCACCAAGTTGCTAGTTTCAATTCTTGTACAGAGTTTAAGCTTGCAATAAATTTTAATACCCATTTCAACTGCCTGGCTCTCCTGATTTCCCGGGGGGGGGGGGGGGGGGGTTTGACAACTGTTTAAAAAAAAATGGGCCCATCTTGAAGAAAAGATGGGATAAAAATGTGATTAATACTAGATTAGCTTTATAATAATCTTTTTTCCACCTTTGGCTGAAAATCTTTGCATATTCAGAGGTAAGTAAACTATAAGAACACCCTGATTTCAGAAAAACCTTTACAACATTCTTGTACATATTTGAAATAAGTACACCTAGAAGAATTGAAGACTAGATTCCAAGTTTTTTGTGGGTTTTAACTTAGAGGATGAGGATTACAAAAAATATTAAGAATTATTTCATCTTTAATTCTTTTTTTAGGAGTTTCAAAAATGTCAGCACCATCTATGAAAGAAAGGAAAGCCTGCTGGGATGCCCGAGATTTTTATTGGAAATGCTTAGATGAAAATATGAAAGATACATTAAAATGTGACAAATTGAAGTGCTCTTTTGAAAATTTATGCCCACCACAGTGGGTAAGTAACTATTTGTATTCATTTTTATATGCACATACCTAACATGATATTTCTTTTTGGGGATATGCAAAAGGCAAGAAAGAAACAGGGAACAAAAGAAAGTGGAAATCAAGATACAGAAAAAGGCATTCAAAGTAAATTGAAATTACTCTACCACTATTATCTCTATTCTTTTATGTCTTTGCAAATCATCCTTACTTCCACATCTGTATACCTCTTTATCTAAATTCTTTCCAGAATTCTGTCTGAAACCTAAGCATTTGCAGTCATTCTTGACTGGCCTTTGTATAAGAGAATAATAATGGCACTGTTCTGATTGTTAGGCAGGTTAAATATTGTGCTGTAACTCCATAAAGAAACTATATATTTCAACATTTCTCCAGCTGCAATACTTACTCCCCCAGCCTCAGCGTTTTTTCAGCATTGTCATAGCATTAATCTTTTCACCCATTTTGCTCGAATTCTTACATACATTCATTTCAGTTTTGCTGTTAAACATACTATCATTTATATACAAATCTCCAAAAGTATCCATTTTCACATTCCCTTACTTCAGTTTAATTTGAAATCACTTCATCACTTTTATTCTTTCCATTTACTTCTAGAAGTTCCTTTTTCTTAGCCCTTTTCATCCACTCCCCCAAAATCTCCATTTTCTCTTTGCATTGTTTATTCTTGACCATTCAAAACAAAGCCTTTTTGGTTACATAATTTGTAACTTTTTCACATTATACATGTTGTATGTCTTGTTCTGTCCTCATTTTGCAACATTTTTGTATGCATATTTATCACCCTCTAGGCACTTTCAGTTTTTCATTCTCCCAACCATCCTTTTCCATGTTTTCTATAACTCCATACTTCATGATAAATGTTTTCTATCAGTAATAAGCAGCTTATATTTCATCTTACGTTTACTTTTGTTCAGTCTGTTGGGAGATTAATCTACCTCATGAATATAAACATTGAATTGGATGAAGTGGGGCAGAGTATATTCTTGTTATCTGATATAAATCGCAGTGCTATAGTTATAGTGCAAACAGTGAAAATCACATTATCAACACAATGCTGGATGTGCATCATTTGGATCTGAAGTGGGCTCTACCTATCAGCAGTTCCTTATAGAAGTTGCATACTTTTCCTGGGCTTGAGTGGTTGCCTAGAAAATATGACTAGTATTGCCTCCTGTTCCCACCTCTGTAGTAGACATAAACAAGGACTTTCCTAATGTCTCAAAAAGAGAATTTGCGGTATAGAGATTCACATATTCACAGTCCAGATACAGAGAATTATCATATTTGTTGGCACATGCTTAAATAGAATTTTGGGAACGTGCTTTATTTTGCTCTTGGCAGATGGCCCTTTATACATTTGTCATGTGTATTTTTTCAATAAATATTAAACATTACAATTATAGTGGAAAAAAAGAATTAAAAAATAGGTGCAGGAAAGAAAAATAGAAAAGAATGAAATAATAATACAGTAAAAAAAGATACTTCTTCCTGTATGCCATCTCTTATCTATAAACAAATCCTTAAAAGTCTTAAAATTTCACGTCAGATGTCCATTAAGGATTATCGGAAATAACATCTCTTTTTAACTTCAGCAAATAAGCCGTGTTTTTATTCCTTCCTTTTTCTTTTAACAAGCTTGATCCCTTTGGGATCCCCTTTGTCCCTTAAAGTAATCTTAGAGCCGTGATGGCGAACCTGTGGCACGTATGCCAGAGGTGGCACGCAGAGCCCTCTCTATGGGCCCATGAGCTGTCACCCCAGTTGGACTCTTGCCTCGCATGCACCTCCTGCTGGCCAGCTGGTCTTCAGATCTCTGCTGTGCATGCACAGGGGATGTGCGTGTATGTGGGGGGGTGAGGCACATGAATGGGGGATGCACACACATTGCATTTTGGGGATCCACATGCGCTTTTGGCACTTGGCCATCACTGTCATAGAGCTTCATTGGCTCCTTCTCATAAAATTCTTAAAGGTGTTAAGCTTCTTTTTGTAAATCCAATATAAGAAAATTATCTAGGACCATTTCTTGGTTTGTAATTCATACAGCATTTTTAATTATTAAGACATGAGCCAATTTCTTTTGTGTGTCCAGTGTAGCATCTTTTTCGATACCGATACCATTTTTGTAGTCTATTTTTAATTCCACTTTCAGATTAGTCTCAGTCTTGACATGTGAAACTTACTTATCTTCCACAATGTCTTTTAAAGATTGTCTATAGATACAGACACTCCTAAAAGTAACTTTTGGGTCCATTATTCAGAAATGGTCTTCAGGGTTCCAAATAAAAGCCCCAATAAAATCAAAACTCTGAGGCAGACATCTTCCTCAAAGCACATATTTATTAGGCATGTCATATTAGCACATATGGGGAAACCCGAATCTAAAGTCCCCTGGGTTTGCCCCTAGTAAAAAGTCATACTTTTCCTCCTCCTGCCCCTTCAGACCATCACATGGCCCAATCAGGTCACAGTCCAAAGTTCAATCAGACTCACTCCACGCCTCTCCACACCTGGTGGAAACATCTTTGGCTAGTAGAGGAATGAATTTTATTTTGGCTACAAAGCCCTCGTTATCTCTACCTCCCCCATCCCGTTCCCACAGCTCGCCCAGCCAAAACTATGGCTGCCCTGAAGACGCCAATGAAAATGGCTCCAGAGCTGACAGTGGCCAATATTAAAATATTTTCCTTCATTCTGTATTTATAAATTGAATTTAAGTGTTCTTCTCCTTTTAAGTATAATCTTTGGTTCCTTCTATAGTTCCACCTACTTTCCAGCCTTCAATTTCCCATCCTTTCATGCTTTTTAAAAAAGAATTAAAATCATTTTCCCATGGGAAGGCTTCTTATAATTAATACAAAATCTTATTTCAAAACCATCTGCATATAATTTGGAATAAAGGAACCATCTGTTATTTGTAGCCAATGTATAAATCATTATTATGCTAACTACTTTCTACATACCATGTTTACACCAAAATACAACCTACTCAGAAAGTAAGTCCTAGCTTGGTTTTTACACATGCAACCAATAGAAGCCCTACCCCCCAAATAAGCCCTAATTAAGACCCCACCCACTCCAGGGTGCACAGGTAAAAATTAAGCCGGGGTGGGTGGGGGTGGAGCTGCCCTACTACTTACCTTCAGACAGCTGCAGCCAGCAAGGCTTTCCTGAAGGTCTTTGTAGCCGGTAACAGCTCCGGAACGATCCAGAACTCTGTTATCGCCTACAGAGGCCTTCAGAAAAGCCTTGCTGGCCTTGCCAGCTGAAGAAGTTCCTGAAGGCCTGTGACAGAGAAAAGAAGACGGGGGCAACATGCTCAAGTGAGGTGAGTCAGTAGACATCCTGTCCTGAAAATAAGACCTGGTGCCTTTTTTGGTGGCAAAAAAATATAAGTCAGGGTCTTATTTTTGGGGAAACATGGTACTTATAAGAATTGTACAAACCCTGCTCTGCAACACCTAGGAGCCTAGAAGTACCTTTCTGTAAAACATTAAAGCAACAATGTCTTTTCCTAGGTTACAGAACTGTTCACTCCATGTTTCTTCTAGCTACTTCAGTATGTATGCACATGCACAGTGATATGGGTTTTTCCCAGTCCTTTATATGTAACAAGGGGAAGAAGTGTGTAGTTCCATATTGGTTTTTTTTTTTAATCTGATGTGTATAAAATTTATTGAACATTAGTTTTTGAAGATAGATCAATAATAGTGGCATTAAATTAAATCTAAAATGTCATGATGGGTATAATATTTTTTCTACTTTTATTTAGATGTTTACTGAGCTTGTTGACTTGCTAACCAAGTGATTTTATTCAAAACAGGTTAAATATTTTAACAAAAGAAGAGATTATTTACAATATAAGGCACAAATGGAAGCAGGACAATTTCTGCCTTCAGAGAAGACAGAGGAGTCATAGCAACTAGAGAACTTTTACAATACTATACACAAGGGAAGTTGCAGAAAAACAGCATAAGTGAAGAACATAGATGTTGGCACCAACGATGTCCTATACATTTTAAGATCTGTTCTTGTTTATAAATCTCATACTGGCCTGAAAGCTCCAGGTTCCGTTATTTGAAATGCTTATTGGAGAGAATAGGCACTTAGGAAAATATGCTTACCTTTCACTACTAAAAGACTACACCATCAATAAAATCAAAATAAATGAATTGTATAAATTCAAATACTTGTATCATGTTTTCACTGCAAATACTCTCTTCCAAAAGTTTTCCCCAATGTACTGGTAAAGTAATGTCTAGTCTATTTCAGTGGTCTTTTGTATAAATTCCATCTTGAAGAAGAATCTTTATAATTGTCAACAGTAACACCCTTAAATATTTCATTTTGGTTGATTCAGGTGTATGAGGGATCACTTTACTATGTTGAATTAAAATTACAATTTGTAGACATATATAGTCTTTAGAAACTGAAACTGTTTGAGTTAATGCTGGATTTGGAAAACACCAAAAATATACTCGAGTGTATGTTTAAAAAATATCCCCAAAACCAGTGCCAGAAAACTGCATGGTCAAGTGCAAAGAGAAAGACACTAGAATCGTCAAATGGTGAGTTGCTATATTGCTGTGTGGAGCATCTTGATAATGTCCATTTTCGATTCATTAGCAACCACATGAGATTTTCTCCATAATGAAAAAAGTTAATGGAGTAAATTTATAGTTATATAGTCCAGCGACAGCATTGTACTCTATTAATTTTTTTTTGTGGAGTTGCGGAAATTACGCATAGCAAAAGCAGCCATTGTGCTGCAAATGAGTAATTATTTACTACCACTTTCAGAACTATCAAGAAGTGGTTTTTACAGCAACATACAGAATTCACTAGCACCAAAAACTGCATTAAAAACAATTTTAATACTGTCATTTTAAAAATTGACATTTTGTTTAAAATGAGGATATACAAAATCTAAGACATAATTAAATCATAGCTATGGTCATTTCGGGGAATTTATAGCACCGTCAAATTATCAGCTTCAACAAAAATTAAACATTTTGTCTTTGTTCTTTTTCCTTGGCCATTTGCTGTCTTGTATATTCCCAAATGAGCAGAGCACCACTTACATGGACATTAAGTGAACGGATAACTCCTTGCTGAGGAATTTCTACACAAGTGTCCAGGTGTTGAATTACATTTGCCGGGATTCCCTCGTGTTCATTTCTGTTTTTAAAAAGAAAGAAAAAAAATACATCAACAGAAATGGAACACTGCTCAATGGCAGAACACAGGCTTCACATGCAGAAAAAAAATCAAGTTCAAATGCCAGCATTTCTAAAACCATATCTCCCTTGAATACTGAGAAATTGCTGATAACATTGAGCTAGAAACATCAATAACCAGATTTGCATATTTTCATTTCCACCCTCCTACTCCAAAATACTATTGGACTTTTTATTGGAGATCCAGGCCATGGACAAATCTGAAATGTTTGCAGTTTCTACAGTAGACATTAAGAGATAAAAATCAGTAAATACTAACAACAAAGGCAGTCTTATGTACTTTAGTATGGATAGCAATTACTATAGCAATTTGTGAACTATCACTGAGAATAATGTGATTTAGACTCAACTTATTTTTAAAGAATTTGTGTTAGGTACAATCAAATATGCATCAAATATAAGTGGCCCAGTTTTATTCTACATTTTATTTATACTGCAGAGATAGTAAAAAAAAAATTCTGTTCAGCTTTTCAATTTATCTACTATTGGTATGTGGCTGCCTAACAGATGAATCACTAGGGAATGTAGCTCTCTATGGGAAGGTTCTGCAGTGCATAGGCAAAACTTTATTTTCTGAATGGTTGTCAGTATTCTCTACCCAAAATACATTTGAAAAATGTATTAGAATTTAAAAAATTTGTTACCCCAACAACAGCAGGGATTTCTCTGGAAAGCAGTATTCCATTAAATTGCAACTTTTGGCTGTTTGCTCCACCCCTATTATAAAATAGCCTTCAGCTTTCTTCTGTTCCAAATATTCAATAAGCTGAAATGGCTTTACCTGTAAATTTTTGAAAAATATTAGCATTAGGCTTTGGAAGTGTGTATTTTTCATTAGTACACTAAGTTAGATATAGTAAGTTCTGACTGAATAGATCTATCCTGGCTAATACCATGTAGACAGAAACCTTTTCATTTTGATTGGACTGATCAAGATGCTGCCCTAGTTCAAGAATCGTAAACAAGTCTTCAATTTGGTGCCATTCATAGCATTTCACCAGTAAGCTAACTTATGTTAGTTAACTGGGTGCTTGATTCAGAAGAGCCACCCACATAAAGCCCCAAAGTGAGGCTCGCTCTTTCCTCACTTGTCTGCTAGAATTGACTATATATGAAAAATCCACCATTATAATTCTCCCACTGAAATAGAAGAGAAATAATAATGCTAAAATTGGACTGTCCCTTTAAATTTTGCAGCTAATATGTAACACCATAAAAGTAATGCAGATCAATTTATAGGGTCCAAATTTTGAATGCAACTACATGAAAATCAGGAGGAGATTGTATACCAATTAACTTGCATGTCTGACAGAACAGGGAAGGTTTATTTTACTCACTTCAATAACAGAAAGCCATTGTTCAGCAGACACACTGAGATGCTGGAATTGCTTGTCATTTATATAATGGAGGTTGCTAACGGTTAAAGCAGAAACACCGAAGATTTCACACGTTCGACACAAGCCTACAAATAAAGCAGAGCTCTTTCAATAGGACATTGATTTCCTCAGCTGAATAGTGCACAGAGGTACCATGGAAGGAGATTCAAACATAAGATTACAAACATGCAGTGAGAATCATGCAGTGATGAGGTGCTTAAGACATCTGGCTAGAAACTGGGAGGCCATGAGTTCTAATCCTGCTTAGTCTGGGTGACTAAGCCAATCATTCTTTCTCAGCCCTACAAAGAAGGCAGCAATGGCAAATCTTGCCAAAAGAACTGCAAAGTTTGTCCAGGCAGTTGCCAGGAATCAACAGTCTTGAAAGAACAATAAATAAATAAAGATAACAACCTTTAAACCTAACCTTTAAAATCAAAGATGCACTTTGTATAGGACAATTATTCCTTAAAATAGCCTAACATAGGTATTAACACAAGAAAATAAAAGACATTTCTCTTTTGTGTAAACAATTTGAGAGTTAAATTGTAAGAACCTACTTCCTCTTTTTCAATCCTCAAATTATTTTCTAGGCTAAACTATGTTTGTTACTTTATAAATATAAGGCATACAATGTAAAACAAAAACAAAACCTACAAGTAGTTTAAAATGAGTAAGAGCTTACCTCCTAAATTGGTGGGTTTATCAATGAGCGAAGCAACTACAATCAATTTCCTGTTTGATTTTCCAAGTTTAGTGGCACGATCTTGAAACATAAGCTCCAGATCCAAATCAGGAGCACTGGCTTTGCAAGGGATAATTTTTTTTTGAACATTCACCCACCGCCTTTCGTTATTGGGCTCAGCTAAATTTATTCCTGAGAGAAATTATGTAATTAGCTAATGAAATAATTTCTTTTAAGAATCTCAGCATTCTAGGACTTAAGTACTTAGGACAAATACAGTCTGTGTGCTCAGTAATTTGCTCTTAAATATCATAAATACATTTTAGTGTCTTTATAAAATATGTATAACTGTTTGACCAGCACAAATTATTTCCTAATGCTGTTTAGTTTCTGATGATCACTATTATTATTACCGATATCTTGCTGAGTCCAGTCATTTGGCTTAAGATCAAGAAGTGTAGTTTGAGAATGGCAGGATGGAAATGTTGAACTCAATGGAATGTCTCTGAATGCCGTAAATTTAGAGAGAGAGATCCATTCCTCTTCAGGAGTTTCTGAAAGGCGTGGCAGCGTGTAAAATATTGTCTAAAAAAATAATATTTTGAAATATCAACTTCCACTACAATGTAACATTTTTTAGCAAAAGCCAACCAGTGATGCTTGTCTTACTTCCACATAGCTGTATATTCTATATCTATGGAAAGATCAGCTTCTGTCAAACTGATGATTAAATATGCTTGAATTCCAATTGATTTTAAAGGCAGGTAGGCATATTTAACCTTACGATGAACGTTTTAAAATAAGCAAATAATTACTTTTCACATTCCACAGCTCACATTACTGCATACACAGTACAGTATAATATAAACTTCACACAAGTACAGTACATTGCACATTGAACTTTGCTTGTTTAAATTGAGTTTCTAGCTCTTATGGCTGTAGAAGATAACTTGGAAAACATAAAATATCTGATTAATGCTCTAAAGTCAAGATAGAATCTTTCACGATTTTCAACATCTGGAAAGCAAATCTTAAGCTATGTCTAAATAAAATATTAATTTACTTTGAGAATGGATACAAATGAACCCATTGGGACTTATTTTTAAATAGGGATGGCTTAGGTAGCTTTTGCTTATTTTGCAAAATAAGCATATAGGTGGAACGAAGTTTTTATGTTTTTATAAAAATAACACAAACCAGATTGATCTGAAGCAGCAAGCAGTGGCTTATTTAGTAAAAATGTGGCATCATATATGATAGATGTAAACATTTACTTTTCTATTAATAATTGCTGCAGAGTTTTTATACCAGATACTATAGTGTTTACTTTTAGATTTAAAAAAATCCTATCTGTGTCCTACCCTTTCTCCTGAATAGTTTCCAAAACCTAAATAGAATTATTCCCATTTTTTTGCTCATACCAACACTGTGAGATCAATTTAGTGTTTTTCAAACTTGGCACATTTAATCTGTGGATTCAAGAACTCTCCAACCAGTATGATGGGATTTGAAATCCACACATATTAAGGTTGCCAAATTTGAAAAATTTGAGTAAATTTACAAAATGATTTTGATGAATTAGATAAAAATGTTTCATCTAATTTGAATATTTAATATGATTATTCATAAGGCAGCAAGGAATCCTACCAAATCTGTGCTTTATCATATTATGGGATTATTTAAAGCTGTGTCTATCTGAAATATATTGAAAGCTCTTACACCACCATCTCTTGGTAAAGCAGATACAAAGATAAGCAAAAGAAAATATTTTAAAATGCTGAATTCTGTCCTTACCTCAAGGCAATAATCCTTAAGTGGATGAAAATGTTCAAAGAAAAAATGTTTCTGAATGCGCTGCCAATTCTTCTTAGCATTCCTGCAGATGATTTTTTTTTTAAAAAGCATTAAGATCTGATATAACAGGAAACATTCTGTATAGACCATTCCTGTTTAAAAGTCTAGTCCTAGATTGATAGACTGATTATGTGCCATCAAGCCACTGACAACTGAATTCAATGAACTTATTCCAAGATAAGTGGCTGTTGGACTGCAGCTTAGCTTCTTATAATAATGTTATGCGGAATAACACTTGATTGTTAATCACAGTCCCACAATGATATAAATGTAATTGACAGTATGTGAAGGTTTACAGTATTTAAAAGTTTAGAAAACAGCATGTAGTTTGTCACCAGCAGGTACAGTAAAAAATAGGTCTGTACAAATTCTTTCGGTACAAATGTATGACAATCATCATATTGGGGTCATGTGGCTCAATTTTCTACTATGATATCAATTCCATTAGAGGTATAGGTAGACTGATCACAACTGAGCACAAAATTTCAACTGATAAGCAAGACAGTTACGTGAATTTTGCCACAATTGTTGAATGAATCACTGCAGTTATTAAGTTACTAACATGATTGTTAAGTGAATCTGGCTTTCCCAATGACTTTGCTTGTCAGGCCACAAAAGATGATACATAATGTATTTAAGGGCTGCGAGCATCCTAAGAAATTCAAAATCCAAAGGCAGATATAAATATAGGGTAAATTTAATTCCTCGGAGTTGAGATACAGTGCCCTCTATGGGACTTAATTCTAGATCTTATTTATGATTGCACTGTCATTTCTTTGGATGTGTTTGAGATAAGAATTTATTGTTAAAGTAATACCAAATTGCTCATCAAACCTATCTAGGAATCAACTAAAAAGTCTTTTTACCATTTCATGACAACAAAAAGAACCATACTTTAAATTAAAGCATGCACTACTAACCCTGTGCCATGCATGAGTTCCACTTGATTTAGACTACCTTCAATAATTGAAGTTAAAGTGTCGAAATCATTCACATACGATGCTTTGCACATTCCCCAAATTTTTTTAAGTGCAATTAAAGCATAAAGCCGAATACTAAAGTTGTGATGGAAGCACCACTGTAGGACAACAATTAACGCTTTCTTCAAGGTTGATATCTAGAGGGAAAGAAGCATAGTTTTAATCTTTGGCTCTACCCAGCAAAGTAGGAAGATATAAAAAATAACATTCACATAAACTGCCATGAATCTAGAGATAAACTGGCCCTGTAAAAATTGAATACATTAATAGTTTATTTAAAAATCCTAAGTAGTTGTGGTACTGGGATATAGGATCATGTCTGGGAGTAGGGGGTGAGAGAACCCCATTAAATGTTGGATTCACACAACAAAGTTAAATGTAAATGGTTCATATCATTTAATATATATCATATTTTCTGTCAGCCAAAGGAAATAATTTGTTCATATCAGCACAGATATGACAGATGTATAAGAGGCAATGAATTAGAGCTTTAAAATGAAATGAAGCAAATTAATAAAGGATTTGACTGTCCTAGTGCTATTTATGATGGCCCTATGCTGCCTCCATACCAGTTGTTTATCAAACTTACTAACACAGGGAGATTTGGTCCCTGAAGGAAACGGGATACTAGATTAGATATTGAGACCAAACAGATCTTTGATTAGAGATGTTAAAGGAAAACTTCATATAGACATACAATAATAGTCTCATCTGGGTTGTACCAACAGCAGATAACAGGATTTATTTTCTGTAATCAACTTTTTTAGTTTCAAACAAAAGCACTTACTTTGTCAGAGGTATTCTGGAGAATTATGTCAAAATGTGACAGGACTGCTAAAAATGTGCAAATGCTAGTTTTAAACTGATCTTCATCCTGAAAAAAAAAAGCTCTATATTAATCTCAATTATTTCTCAATTTGTAAAAATATATTGAGCCTGATAAGAGCCATTCTTGTCTTCCTAATACTGAATCCTAGCTACTACTATTCTAACGCAGCATATATTTTCAATAACAATAACTCAATGGAGTATATTTTCTAACAATCTTGAATGCAAGTTTTATAAAAATAACCCCTTCTTTATTTGTACTTCACTCATACCTTAATATGTAGTCACTCACATAATTAAAGCAATTCCAGAACTTTTGAAGATAATGGGGAAACTTGTGTAAAATCAGAATGATATTCCACTCTATTAAATACTTTACTGATGCTTGATTATTATTATGTCCAGCTTGAAGAATCCTGTCAACGATTCTTGATAAAAGATCCTAAATAAAATATCAGGAACCAAATCAATTATAATTTACAGATGACTTCATCATATTTTATTTATTAGATTGATATCCTACTTTTCTTTCAGGTGTTTGAGATTAGAGTCATTATGTGACATGGGTAGATATGTAAATGTGACAAATAAATAGATAAAATTATGTCCCAAGCACTGCCCTCTACTACTTTTCCCATAACCACCACCATGTGAAGTCTGTTGAACTATGTTGGCTCATCTAAAACCAAGATCTCCTTATGCCTAGTCAATATCTTAACCAACATATTGTACAGGTTTCCCCATGTACAGCTACTTTCCTCTATATTTCTTCTCTCCCTATATGACACAAATATTTAAAAAGTGATATTTTTCTAGCAGTATCTTACACTAGATCCACTATAATTATACAATCTGCATGTAAGTTTCTTCTCCACAGAAGATCACTGTCATTTTAAGCAGAGGATCACACATTTTTGTTGTTTCCATTGAACAAGACAGTATTTCAAACTGCTAAGTCAAAAAGTACATTCAACTGAATGAAATTGTAATAATTATTTCTTGTGCCTTTAATCATTATGGTTTTATCTTATCGAAAATTACAAAGCAGCAGCCATTTTTTGCAGAGGCTTTTGAAGTTTGGGCAAGGTGTATTTGGCCTTCCCTCCATTAAAGTAAAATGGTCATTATTGTACGTTATAACCCAGCCAATAATCAGAAGACAAATCACAATGGGCCAATACATTTAAAGAAAGGCCCAATACATTTTAAAACAAAATGAGTGAGCCAGAACAGTGGGGTGGTTATACTGTTGGATTAGGGCCAAGGAAACCCTGATTCAAATCTATCCTCAACCATGGAAACTCACTGGGTGACTTTGTGCTAGTCATCTTCTCTAATTCCAACTTACCCTACAGGGTTGTTGCAGGGAAAAAATGAAGGAAGGAATGCTATGTATTCTACTTTGAGATCCAGGATGAAAGGGAGGATATAAGTGTAACAAATCAGTGCAAATCAATAAAACTGTTGTACATTATGATCACCCTTAAGTGTACAATATGAGGAAGGGAAGAGTTCTACAAGTAAGATTAGATGATTGGTTGGAAGAAGATCTCATGACCTCAATTTCAGATGGCAACATAATTATTTATGAAACAATAGGCATGACATGCATTTAGCCTCAGAAAAAATTAGACACTTATAGTACTACATATCCATGGTATAAATGGTAACACCACAAGTTCTAAGTGAGCCATACCTCATCAAGTTTTGGAAACAGAACTAGCAACGTCTGCCACAGTCGATTTTCAATTCTATGTTGTAAGGAGTTCACATAATAGCGGACTTTTGATTTGGACATTAATTCACCCTGCAAAGAATATAAATATGAATACTTCTAATTTCAGCCAAACAACAAATTGCTATAAAACATCTCATGTACTCTTGTATAAAAAGAATTGATTAAAATAGTTAATAAAAAAAGGTCAATCAATTGATGTTATTAAAACAGCATGCAAACTATAAAATGTGCTATGGAATGGAATGAGAGGTGACTTCTTTTTCTTAGGCTTTGCTTTACTAAAAATTATTTTAGAGAAAAACCCACATCCGATAGACTACTAGGCAGGAATTACCGTGCAATAATCCCCACATTGGCTGTGTATATATGCATGTGTGCATGTTAGCATGTGCACGCAAACCCAGAACTGCCCCAGTGTTGTTCTTTCCATCTTCATAAGAGCCAACATGAAGTGCTCTAAAGGCAGAGCAAGGCAAGATTAAGGGTTCATGCTCCCATTCTCTTTTCTAATGAGATCAAGGGGGAAAAGGAAAAGATCCCCATTGTGACCAATAGCAGGCTTTAGACACAGCAGATGATCCACTACCTATCTTCCTATTTTCACCCTTTTTAGGTTTGCTCACCTATTTTCCTGGCAAAACTAAACATAACTTACTGCTTTAGTTGCATAAAAAGGTGGGGTAGTAGTTCTCTAGAATTCAGTGTTTCCCAACATTGGCAACTTGATGTATGGACTTCAATGCCATCTGATCTGAGCACTTAACATCCAGCACTATATTTTCAATCATTTTATGTTTTCTAGCCATATGGTTTTCTTGGTAAAACAAAACAAAAACAGGGAATGGATTACCACTGCCTTCTCCCATCCAATATGAACTGAGGGCTAAAGTGATCATCTGCGTCTGGCATCTTCCTCTATCACTGCTGTCCAATAAAGGTGCCCGCTTGCTTTAACTGGGTGACTGGGATGAACTTCACACATTGAGTGCTCTTACTGGTAATATATACTCTTGCTCATCCTCCCAGGAACACTGGGATGAAGCAACCCAGCAGGACTCTGGGGGAAATCAGTGAGTACCTTCTCTAAATATCAGAAAACCAAAGGCAACGAAGAGAGTAATTGGCCAAATATGGAACAAAGGCAAGCTGAGGCTGCCAGCTTGGAGTCAAATTGGAGGCCCTTTGGTAGGGCATGATGATGAGCATAGGAAGCAGTGGAAGAACCCAGAAGACTGTAGATTGGGACTAAATTTCCTTTCCTGCTAAAAATCACAGGGAGACTTTCTAGCACACTAGTTTCCATAGCCATCTTTCGTGACAGACCCTCTCCTAGTAGTATCTGAGAAGCAACTCCCCCATCAAGCAGCCTTTCCTTATTATCTCTCTGCCAAACCAAGATGCTACTCATCTTATGGAAGTTCTACCTTCCTACCGATTCTGCAGTCATGCAGGGCCAAATTCTTCTTTCTGAAGAGGAGGAACTATCCAAAATGGCTGGGTATCAATGAAAGATTACTCAAAGGTGAGATCTACCCCCCTGCCCAATCCACCTAAAGCCCACTCTTCACCCCTATTTTAAGAAGCAGAAGGAAGGATGATGCTTGGGGAAATGGCAATTCAATAACATTCCTGTTCATATGACTGGTTTTATATAGAGAGCACTATAAACATATTCTTACTTTATCAAGTAGTTTCATGACAAAATCTCCTATAAATTTCTTGTGCTGCTTGTTTGATTCATCCAGCAAACAGATAAATTTGATAGCACAAACTCGCACATAATGGTCATCTCTGTTCTTACTGTAATATATTATGGCAATTACGTATCAGAATTAACTTTTGTTTTCCGAAATAGTCTTATACGTTTAAATTTAGTCAGCAACCACATACACATTTACATATGGTTTACTAAGATATCATGAAAACACATTCCCTTCATTCCCACATATTTATGGACAGCTGGTCTGGTCTAGTGGTTGAGGCTCCAGGCTACAAAATGGGAGTGAGTTCAAATTCTGCCTTAGCCATGAAAGCCAGTTGGGTGACTTTGAGGCACTTCCTCTTTCCCTCTCTCTTTCTCAGATCACCCCACCTCAAAAGGTTGTTGTTGTAGGGAAAATAGGAAGTAGGTGGTATTGGATATATTCGCCATTTTGAATTATTTGTAAAAATAATACAGGCAGGATACAAATAAATAATGTTTACAATTGCCCATTCTAGTGTTGAATAACAATATCTTTCTATATAATACTCATGGTACTACAAACAAAAGTTTGTAGCATTCTTTATTAGTGACTGATATTTATGAGTCTTTTAAATGTTAACGATTTTTAATGCCAGTTAATTGTATTTCTTTATGAAAAACAGAAAAGACAGAATGTCTCCATACTAAGATTGAAACAAAAGATGCCAAAGAATAAACTTCAGTATCCTTTTTAGGTAGGACATGACTAAAAAAATCTGCTTAGTTCAGTGTTCCATCCATAATTAACTATTCTATCAAATCTATCTTAACTAAATTCAAAGAAATCCAGTATATCTATTTTGATTTTGACTAAGGAAGCAATGGAAGAACCCTGTGAAGTCTCTTTAGTTCTGTAAAGAGTCCTTTGAATTAATGGAAATGATTGAACAGCTTTTTTGATACTGAAGTTAGCGTTCAAAAAAACAGAGATCAATTATAACTGCCTCACACTTTTCATGGTGAGCTCTTAGCAGCCTATGATTAGACATTTAGCTTTCATATCATAGTTATCTGAATTTAGAATTTTCAGTAAAATGGACTTAGTAACCAAATGTGCTACATCATTTTTCCCAAATATATAATATGGGCTTCAGTTTAATAAATTAGAACCCCATATAAAAATTAAATGTGAGCAAAGGAATATTGGGAAAGAGGCGATATCAAATCATATTCTAAACTACTATAGATATAATTAATGTTAAGTATTATAAAACAAGGTAATACTGACCTTTCCGTAACAACATTTGCTGCACATTGATCTCCAAGATTTTCAACAAAAGTGTATACCTCCTGAACGAGTCTTGAAATTAATTTACATTTAAAAGTGAACACAGAAAGGAAATTAAAATATTGTTAATCACTTATATTGATTATGCTATCAATCATCATACGTTCACAGCAAAACAAATACAACATGTTAGGTACTCCCGAGAATGGCAGGAATCTGCTGAATGTGTGACAGCATAAAAATAAAATCAGTGAGAAACAAGCATGCATAGTGTGGTTTTTATTTTGCTTTGGTTTTTACCTTTGATCACGCCTGAAAATAGTTCCAAACAAACAAGCCTCAATAAGGAGTTCAATGTAGTTGCCAGCATTTGAAAAGGCATTTTCCACAGTAGTTATTTCACCAGAAGGAGGAAACAGCCAAGACTGACAGCAGTGGCTTACTAGAACATTAAAGATTCCAGTCTTTGTAGATGAAAGTTCAATCATTTGAAACATAATCTGCGAGAAGGGAGGAAAACGTAATTGACTGTAAAACAAAATAAAACAATAAGTTTTATTTCATGTAGGTATGAAATAGTCAAGCAGAAGGATTCCCCTTCCCTCTTGTACTTATCCATACCTCCTCTAAACTAGTTCCCTGATGTTGGGTAACCTCTAGTGCAGCGGTTCCCAACCTTTGTGGCTAGGCGGCCCGGTGAGGGGAGGGGAACAGGGCCACATGAGCAGCAGGCAGTGCATATGCTCATTTGTATGCAAGTTGGACTGCATGTGTGTGTGCACACGCACCAGTCGACTTCTCGCACAAGTTGAGCTGCACAGGCATGCGTGCGAGCCAGCCCACTGCTCGCGTAGTCCAGTTGTGAATAGGCCATGGCCCGGAGATTGGGGATCCCTGCTTTGGGCATATCCGTAAAAGTTGAATTAAAAGGTGGAAGAAAAGTCCAATCATTTGAATGGAAATCTGCTTGGCTGACATTGAATGATTTCCACAATAGCATTGTTTTAGTACCTTCTTAAAATAAGTAAGTCTTCTTTTCCTGATTATATAAATATTGAGTTCTATTATTGCAGGTTAATTTAAGAAATTAAATTTTACTTGACACCATTTGAGTTACATGTTCTTCCTACACTCTTAATTTTTTGACAATTTGAATAAGTAACTTCTCTAGATATCATGGACAAATTATCTCTTTCAAGAGGGAAAATATAAAGATTTTCAGCATAAACCATTAACTCTAAACTTAAGTCAAACTTGGATTAGTACCTTTTCACTAAAGAATATAAAACAAAAAATGAGGAAGCAATATACTAGGAGTTATTTCAAAGTAAAGAATTGGATATGTACAGTAGATAAGTGTTTTCAACATTTAAAAGTGTTCCTAAAATCAATTCATCCCAGGGAAATATATTTTATGTAATTTTGATGCAACTTTAAATGGAGATTTCAGGGAAGTATTACATTGGTTGAAGTAGGATATAGTTAGTCCTCAACTTACAACTGATTGTTTAATGACAGTTCAAAGTTACAACAGCCTCAGAGAGTGCTTTACATCCCCTAAAGCACTCCCAGCCACCATAAAACATGAAGCTGCCACCCCCACCCCTCCACTGCATTTTGAGTGTTTGGTGACTCACTTGATGGTTGCCAAGCACCCCACAATCAGGTGATACAATCTGCAATCTTCTCTGTTGGCTTTCCCAGAAAACCAATTGAGAAGCCAGCAAGAATAGTTGCAAGCAAAGAAGGATGGAGTGGAGGGGAAATTTTTCATTTTAAAGACTTCAGCTCCTCCTGTGGAGCTGAAATCTTCATCAGGCAGCTTTTCTTTCTATTTATTTATTTTATTTAGTTTGTCAATTGCTTACAAGATAATAGGTATAAGTAAAAACATAGTTATGAATACATGGATACATATAAGAAAAATAAAAGAAACAATAGGACTTTCTACTTAATAACCCAGGAGAATGCTTATCGACTGCAACCAGGAATGCTGTGATAGCAGTCACTAAGTGAAGCAGTCATATGGGCATCTCACTTAACAACCAGCAACCGAGATTCTAGTCTCAACTGTGGCTATACATTAAGGACTGCCACCTGGACGCAGGTAGCATAACTGGAATAAATTCATAACTTTTCTGTAGTTGTAGCAAAACTAATTTTTAATCAAGAAGCTTGATTCAGCTGCCCAGAGTCACTTTTCAGAGTTAGATGGGCAGCATAAAAAAATTAATAAATAATCAGTTCATAGACACTTTTTATATTCCAAATGAAGGTGAGCTCTCTATAAATTCTTGTAGCTTGGAATTAGCCATTTTTACCTGTTTTCTATTGTTGGAATACCTGGATATTGTTAATTTGGAGTTTATTATTTCAGTGCTTGCTTGCATTAAAAATGCCTTGTTTAAAATTCTATGATTAAATAAATGTATACTGTTATATTCAATGTCTGTGAAATATGGGGATGAGGAGATGAGATACTGAACCACTATTGTTCAGTATCTTGGCCTGATTTGAAACTGGTACCTATAATTTCATGATGAATCAGATGCTTCCCGAGTTAAAGCTCAGGAAAAGAGAAGTAAAGAGATGCTTCCATGTTTCAGTTTTAGTCTATATAGGTTCATCTGAATGCAGTAATTAAAAATATCACAAGAAACAACTAACAGTTTTAAATATTTTACCTCTTTTATCTTTAAGTATGTTTCACTCTTGAACCTGGCTGCGGTAACAAGAATTTCAGGATCAAACACAAGTTGAATAAAAGCTTTTAAATTAGGCCAAAATATCAGTTGTGTGTTGCTAAGAGAAAATATTATTTTCCATGACATTTCAAAAGCTTCTATGCATAGAGATTCAGAAGATTCCATAAGCTAAAGGCAAGCAGAAATCATATTTAGTTCAAGACAAGACCAAATTTAAAATACACAATAAAACCCCACATTGTTTTGTTGGAATTACCTTGGAAACAAATATTTTCATGCAGTGAAAAACTGGTAAAACATGGTCAGAAGGAAGAATTGTTATTGCTTCTAGTGCAGACTGTAACATTCTTTTGTAGTCCTGAACATCATAAAAATGTTGTTCTAAATGTTTGTCCTTGGACAGATTTTGATAATTGTTGAGAACAAAATGAAGACAGACCCACTGATCATGTATGTAACGTGCTACAATTTTCCCCCATCCTTCATGAGATGCTGCTTCTTCAACTGAACTGTAGAAAAAATCAGATTACAATGTTGAGTAAATTTTAGTAACACATAAATTATTATATATAATAACAAGATATATTAAAAGTAAAAGAAACAGAAATGGCAATTTCTATATTAGCACAACCTGCCAAACCTATATGTAAAGAACATACATTTGCATAAATTTTCTCAGGTTTCAATTAAACCTAAAAGGAATAATGGCTACACCAATAATTAGAAAGTCATAAAGGCATCTATAGAATTTTTTAAGGCAGAAATTATAAATTATATTTATAATAATGTAATAGTAAAATACTTCAGTAGAAAAAAAATTGTTGAGCAATTTGTACCTTTGTTGTTCCATGCTGTTTGGCTTCTTTAATACATGGTTAAGTTGGGTGCTGAAAATTGCTGTTTTAAGGGAGTTAACAGCTGGTAGAAATTGAAGTTGAAGGTCTGGATTCTGATCCATAATTTCACAAACAACCTTTAAGGCTGCCAAACTCACTACTTTCTGAATCTGTTCTTCAAGTTTTATGTCCTAGAAGATATAAATACCATGGTTTTATCGTATGTTTGTTTTAAAAAGACAATAAAATATGCACTAATTTGAACATAGGTAAAGCATTTCCTTCTCTAATAAAAAAAAGTTAAACTCCTAGCTTTCTTAATCTGGCAGGTGGGATAGAGATAAGAACCTAATCAAGCTTCCTTCTTCCCCAAACACACACAGTTTTAACCATTATTATGACTAATTGAAGTCATGTTGATTTGAAAGTCTACTCTAAATGCAATTCGTGATCCATCCCATTTCTTCAAACAACTCAAGTTATGTACCATCAAGGGGGCAGGGGGGAAGCAGGCCTGGAGTCATTTGTACAGTTTTAAAATACCAGAAAATCATGATAACCATCCAGCTTTATTAGGCATACCAATATCATCTTATCTATTTCACAATAACATGTTTTCTATTTTAAAGCTTCTGACCCATTACTGATCTGCAATTGTTTGGTAGAACATTGAAAATTGGAACTTATTGTCATTTTATTCTCATTCGAGTGATAAAGTCGAGAAAATTCTAGCTTGAAACTATGTTCAAAATCATTTTAGTACTGTAAACAGTAAAGTTTGTTTGTTTTTAAATCAATTAACATTTTTAATAAAACTTCATTCTGAGAAAATACCTATGCTTATTTTGACAATATATTCCTATTTGAGAACAGCTATTGCTGGGGTTTTCTAAGAGCTCTGTGTGATTCCGCTAGTGATGTCTGCGAGGATGAGAAGCATCGGGGGGGCATGGCAGGGAAGGTGAGCCTACTCAGTTGAAGCCCTGCCCCCTTTTTATGTGTGGCAAACTTTTCTAGTTAGCAAACATTGTTTAGGGTTTCTTATCTGACTTTGGGTTAGACACTAAACCAATAAATAATGCAGATGTGATAGCATCTCCCCCAGCATCAACAGGGAAAATCCAATTGATGCAAGTTTGATTCATTCTTAACTATAGGCCATTGTAACCTCAATAGTACCTCGCCATCACGTATCTCCTGCAGATTGTAGAGAGAAGCATTTATTAAAGATGAGACAAAAGTGCAGAGAAAGGGTCCTTTTCTCCATCCACTGGCTGAATAGAAATTTATTAGTTCTGACAAGACTTGCAGATATAAATTACAATGTTCCAGTTGTGTCATCTGAAATGAAAAAATAAATTATTATTCATATTTGTGATAACAAAAAAATACAAAAATCTGCACATTCCTACAAAACACAATATACTGATACAGTAATTTATGCATGCCAAACAAGATTTTTCTTTAAGCTCTCTAACTCTGATTGGCAGCTGCAGTCTTGTAATATTGTAATGCCTTTCTATTTCCAAAACACTTTGTCACCTTAACAACTAGCACTTTTTGGCACAGAAAAGCCTCTCTGGATTCTATTGGATTTTCTAAGTTGCAGACAGACACAAACAGAACACTCATTTTTCATGATATATACACAGATAAACAAGCAAGAAATATATTTGAGCAGTCTGCATATAATCAACAATTCCCATCATCTGGATATATTATTACATAACATATCCACAACAGCTAATCAGCCAAGGCAAATTACATAAATCAATATACATTAATTATTTGTATTTGGGTGTGTAATACTTTTGTAACTATTTTTACAGATTAGAAAGGTTTTAAAACTGCTACCTGCTATAAATGATTGGGGACTTTTAAAATATTCCAAATAAGTTCATTTCAGTATACAACTTACTACAGGTATTTGCCAGACTGGTTTCTGCACTAAATACTTACAACATTTAGTTCATTTGCAGTAAGTCTTCTGAGGAGAAAATCCAAAATACTTTCAGTGGCGAGCATAATTGACTTCTGGAGAAATACTACTGTTTCATCTATATATAAAGAATCATTACGTTAAAACAAGAGTACATTTCTGCTTCTGAAGCGATATAGAAATTGTATTTATACCATTTTACCACTGTAACAGGTAAAACATACATTATTCAATTAGGTAAGCAGAATTTAAAATGGAAGTCCTTTTTTAGTCAATAAAAATGACAAAGTAGAATTCCTTTGTCCTTCCCCTCTCTGAACCTTCTAATTTGTCCTCCCATTACATAGAACAGATCTAGGAATAACGCTCCTCCTAATTAGGAAAGAATTGGTACTAGAACTTTAGAACTAGATGTTTTTAAACTATTAAATAAAATGTACTGGTATTTTGAAACATCTTTTTATTATTTTAACAATTTTGATAATTCAGAGTGGCCAAAAACAGCTTTATGGAATGCTTGTCTGGGAAGTATGTTCAGACTCTTCCCTCTCATCCTCCTTTAAAAAAAGCACTTTTTGGACCTGCGTGACTGAGAATCTCCATAGACACAACAAGATAGGATGGTCATGGCAGAACCCCAGAAAGATGAGAGGAATGAGTCTAGAATGAGGTGTACAAAGAATGAATGAATGAGTCTTTTAAAAAAAAACAGCAAGGAAGAGGGAAAGTAAAGAAAAAATGAACTGCCTTGATGGGTAAGAATGAGGAGTTACTTAAATGAGAGAGGCTGAACCTGAAAGAGATGAGTAAATGAAGTTCAGTAAATGATCTAGCATTTTGGAACATCATAAATTTGGGTCTCAGCAATTTGCCTTTCTATATGAACAGAAAATTGTAGATTCAAAAAGTTTTGCATGTTAAGGCTCAGACCACAATTCATGCCTTATAGTACTGGGATGTCTTTGAAATGGCTGGTCAAATCACTACAAAAGTGATTGCCTGACCACATCTTTATTACTAACAGCAAGGATTTGACGATGGAATCCAAATTATTTGTTCAAAATTTTCAGTTTGCCTATCTATCCAAATAAGGTGAAGTAATTTTCATAGATTTTATGTTGTTATTCTAATTAAAGGATCAAGAATAATAAAGTTAACATACTGAAGATACCACTAACCAACTTCTGGTTTAGAAGTTTTGATTGAACAAGTCTGCATTATCTTCAATAGCAGTTGTAGGCTTTTATCAATTTTTAGTGATGAGATGTAGGGATTAGTGCCAAGTTTCAGCAACACATCCAGCAGAGGATTTAAGAGCGCCTTTAGACCAATCCGTTCAGTGCTGCTATTGTCACTATACAAAATAAACAAAAAAAAAGAGGAAATTACAGACTTATACTGACTTCTGCAAAGTAATGCACCTTTTTCTAAAACAGAAGGTGTCACATAGCATTGAAGTCATACTACACCTTCCAAATAGCAACAAGTAGGAAAAAATCACCACAGACACTATTTTTGGCATGTTTCAATTCAGAATCTGGGGCAGTATTTGTAGAAGGAGAATGGAAAAAAGAGACAGACTGAATATTTAAATCAGACAATTATTTTAAGAATATGATACAATCAATTATCAGAAGGTGAGAACAAATCCTTAAATATTGCCCAAGAAAATAAATATATTAATAAGTGAGAAAGCCCCCCGAGTTCTGACAAGATTGGTCCTTGTTAACCTATTTTGCATCTAATGGAATAATCTGATACTTACTTATATGTGTGCCTTATCTCTTCTACATCTGCAGCTAGAAGGATCATTGTAGCCACCCGTTTAGCATCGAACCAGTCTGGAAGGCAATCGGCTGTTATGAAAAATATATATATATTTCGAATATGAAAAGTTAGACAGGCATGCAGGTACAAGTATGTTTTAAAGTTTCCAATTTCACACCAAAAATTATGAGTCTGACTCAAAATAAAGGCTGTTGTATGTAGAATTTAAAATACTTTTTTAAAAAAATTGCATACATTGATATTGAGAAGTTGCAAAAAATTTCTATTTTAATTTTGGTTTTGCAAAAATAAAATTTAATATTTAAATTTAATGATTTTTTTTCAAGATGAGCAACTGACCACGTCTTAGCATACTAGCTGCCCAATGACAAATTAGTTCACTTTTGAGTATCCTAATTACTTATTAAGCAAGTAGAGGTCAATATGTAAGTTTCTTTTTCTCTTATATAAAATTATCTTTCTTGAAAATTTGTAATAAGCCCAATGGTGAATGCATTCTACATTAGGAACCAATTATTTTATAAACATGTCCCTACTTTAACATTATTATTATTACACAATACTTACAATTGGCAAGAGGTGTTTTAAGGTAGTCCTCCACAAGAAGCTGCACATAAACACTTAAGGCTGTTTTATCTTGTGGGACTTCACAGTTTAAAGTCTTTTGAAAGTACTTGTCATTTACGTGCAACCAATCACAAAGCTGACCAAAACAAAATTAAACATCATTTTTATCTCTCTTCTATAAACATGTAAAAGCAACTATATAGTAGTATATTAACCTCAGTGGTAGGTAGAATAATGTTAAATCATAGACAAGACAGTTGGCATGGGTAGGAATGCTGATTCAACCTGAATTGAACTACTATAAGTTTGCAATTTTGCATTATAAACCTAGCATCATGGGTATATGACTCAGACAAATGGGAACGAGAACATGAGGAAAAATGTGTATATGGGCTTCTGAACAGAGTTCAGAGTTCAGACATATGCCTTCATAATGAGATTAGCAATCACCAAAGGAAATAGTTATTGCTCAGTTACATAATTGATTTCATTTTTCTCACCATTGTCCACAAAGCAGTTTTTCTCCCTAGTGACTCCTCCGGTTTCAGATATGTAATGAAGTTTGAAATATCTGACAGTGATACCTTTTCCTAAAGAAATGTAATCAGGATTTATTACATATGGGACAGTAAATATTCAGTTAAATGTTATTTTAACAGATAGAATATTTCTATATTGCATGTCTCTGAGGTTAATATTTTGCTCCAAAACTCAATATAAAATTATCATATCATAGTATCATATCATTCTTTTTAAATTAACAGAAATGTTTAAGTGTCTGCTGTTACAAAAACCAACATGAAAACACTTCGTTGCTCTTAAAAACTTCTGTCCTTTTGTTGCTGAACAAAGTGTTTTGCTTCACTTGTCCATTTGCTATTTCTATTGTTTATATGATGAAATGAAGTTTAAGCCAAGAATATATTAGAATATTAAAACCATATTTGATGCACACATTTCAGACAAAATTGTTCAAGCACCAACTTAATCTCCACAGCCACTTTTAAAGAGCTAATACACAAAAGCATATTTGCTATCATGAACATTACATTTCAACATGCAAACTGTTAATGTGTTTTGGAGCAATCAGATTATTTTTCTTGAGCCCACGCTGTAACAATCCTGATGCATTTATGGTGTACATAAATTTGACTTAGCTTAATTCCTGATATATTTTATACCAGGAAGAACAAATTGAAGGGTACCATTTCTTGGTAACTTGCAGTACCATATCTTAGACTAGTGGACCCCAACTTTTGCAGCTTGATGGCTTATCTGAAGGGGGGGAGTGGGGAACCGAGCCATGCGAGTAGCAATTGCATGCGCACATGCAGCTCAACTTGCACAAGCAGCCAGTCAGAGTGCACATGCATGCACATGCATCTCAACTTGTGCAAGTTGAGTTGTGCATGCATGTACACATGCCGGCCTAGTGTTTGTGCAAGTTGAACTGTGCACACATGCACGCACCGCCCCATCACTCACAGCCTGGTAATGGGCTGCGCCCCGGGGTTGGGGACCCCTACCTTAGACATAATAATGTAATCTTGCAGTTCATTTTAATGCAAGATAAATACACATATGAAAGTGAACTTGTTTGATTTCTAAAAAAAATTGATGGCTGGGAAGATAATTTAAATAGGAGAAATATTTCAGTTTTGATTTTCAACAAGAAATCAAACAAGTTGGGACTCTCACATTTTTAAAGGAAAAAGTTTTATCCATGAAAGCACTAGAAAACAATTAAATGTATGTGACAAATTGCCTTTCCTAAAATACCCCCCCCCCAAAAAAAACCCCTATCAGGACTGGAATACTTGCTACAAAAATGGTGATTGTTATACTATATAGCCAACATTTAATACAGTTTAAAAACTATTCTTATGCATATTACAATATGCTTTTGACTATTTTTGCTTTGTTTTTCCTTCTGTACATTAAAACAAACATTTGTTTAAAAATATCATACTTACTGTATCTATTAAGTGTATAGCTGCTTTAAGAAGAAAGCACTGAGCAGCTCCTCGTAGAAGAATCTGATGTGTGATCATAGTACACTGCAGAACATTTCTGTAAATGGATCAAATACATGTTTTGAAAAGTCAAACAATGAACTGAGGATACGGAAAATTCATAGAAAAATAGAAAATTCAGAACATCACCTTAATGCAAGGAGCCCTTTGCTAGCCAGTGCTCTACACTGTGGTATATGTGCCAATGCCATGGAGAGAAACAAAACAGGAATAGCACACCAGTGCCTATTGCTCATCTTCTGAATAAATTTTAACAAAAAGCTCCCTTTAAAGAGAAAGAAAATAGCATTGTTATCATATTGAAGATAGCTTTGGTTCTATATGGAAGCCATTAATGGACTTTTTGCTTGAGATCGAAAGAAAGGCTATATTACTTTTAGTATTTGACCATTAGAATTGCTTATGATTATAGAAGTACTATGTAATAATTTCAGATCAAAAGGTTAATGTACTTTTTATTTGTAACTGTCAAATAAAGTAGGAAGTTATTTCCCTTTATCCTTTGCAATATGTACCTTCTTATTTTTCTCTCCAATTTTTTAATATTTCATTCTTTGTAGAAATGTAATGAAGTATAATTAAAAAAATAAAGAATTCAAATATAAATAGGAATAAATATATTTTCTCAATCACAATTTAGATTATAATCCCCAGTTCTATAGATTATCTCTTCTATTTTTTAGCCCAAGAGACAGAATTTTTTTGTCCCGGGGAATAAATATAGGATAACTGAAAAAGAGAAGATTGTAAAATAAGACAGGGCAAAGCTAGACAACAATATGCTGCTTTAATTGTTCCAATTTTATGAGTGTTTAATATCACTTGTGCACTTCCACTATCATCCCCCGATTTTGATACCCATTACTGTGGAAAAAAATAATTAAACACAGTAACCACATTCATGACATTTAGCAAGTGATTCAGGGTTAATTTCTCTCTTTCAGAAAGCAGCTGCACCTCTAATTCCATTTTTGGTACATGGCAATAAAATTGTGAGTCTGTGCCTGCCTCAGAGACTTAGTAATATCTCTAGACAAACCCTGCACAAACACCAATATCTGTGTCATCATCATCAAGTTTATATTTGCATTTGTATCAAAAAATAATAAAATCAACTAATAATAATAAGTTATCCTGAAGCAGAGAACTGAGAGTCATGCTATTCCAGAATAATGCCATTAACTAAACATACTTTTTTCACTTCCTGAAAGGCTCGTGAAGAAAGTCGCCATGAATTTCTGCAGAATTATTCCTAATGGAGGACAAGTACCCATAATCTGTCCTGATAGCCTGTTAAGTTAAAGCAAAGAGATAATTTAAAGAAACTTAGTGCCAAGGCTACAATTTAATTTTATTACAACATTTTATTGGGTCATAGAATAAGTTTGCAGATTATCAAAACCTTAAACAGAGATATGTGGTAACTAAAATAATTAGAAGAATTCCCACAGTATTCATTTGGTCTGATTGTGAGGTAAGAGAATGTAAAGCTGATTTCTGTGCATCTTACTTTCCCTAGTAGATTCTCAAACTTTTTTAAAAAAGACTCATCATCTCCCTTGCCAGAATGGGACAAACAGTAGCCCAGAGAATTCTGCAGGACAGAAGTTTCTCAAAATTAGAAAGAAGCATTTTGCCCAAGCAGAATTCCCGTCCATTAAACCTGCCTATGGGAAAGACCCTCTTCTTTCTCTCATACCATATCTAACTAAATCAGGAAGATCCCACACATATAAGAGAGGTTGTACCGGAGGCTGTCAGGGTAAGATCAGGCAATAAGACCAGTTTTCACATTTGCACCCAATAGATACCTGGATATCTCTCTTGACTGAAACAACAACAACAACAAATACAATTTAAATCAGATAACGTTCCAAAAACAAGCTATCCTCAAAGAACAAACAATCATTTTCTGAATAAACAAACTCACTTCCTGATTCACATTTTTGACAGCCTTGGAACCCCTTCCAATTATTAAACATGTTGAGAAGGAAAGTACATGAAACCTGAAGCCTGTGTCTTAAAATGAAGATAGCATTTGTTTGAAAAGAAGACCCTCAGAGGGAGGGGGGGGAGGGAGAGAGAGAGAGAGAGAGAGAGAAGGGAGGGCGGGAGAGAGAGAGGGAGAGGGAGCAGCAATCCAGCCCCCTTCAACCTGCATGATATAAGTCTAATCATTTTACATCAATTGCATCCACCATGGCCCTTGACCTCTTAGAAAAAAATAAATGTGGCTACTTTAGCAGTATAATGGATTAACTAGCAATAATGGCATCCAAGAAATCTGTTTTCTGGAGTTTCACTTACTTCTTTTCTCACTGTGTTAAATGTAGGTACATCAAATATTAATGAGAGTATTATTTTTTTCTCCTCCCTATTCTGACTATAGTTTAAATGCTATTAAAGATAGGTGCAAATATGCAGTTCTACCCCAAAGTGCAATAAAACCTGAAACAATCTTTTATCTTTTTAACATCTACAAAAATTATTTTACTGAGTTTTTCATTAAACAACGTATTTACCTGCTATAAAGAGAACTTTCTGAAAGAGCATCCATTAAAGGGCCAATAATGAACTAAACGAAAGAAATGAGATCTTCATTAAAAGAAATAAAACAGACATTAATTGCAGTTTATTTGTTCTGCAGTAAATATCTTTTTAGATATAAATATAGTACAGTTAGTCAGGGAACAATTAAAATCTCCAGGTAAGACTGTACAAGAACACTAGCTTCAACTTTTGAAAAATAAGCAAAGGAATCATGAAGCAATTATATAAAAAGACTTAAAACAGGGAATGGGGTAATAGATAGCTAGGCCTTCTTTAGAGCAGCAGTCCCCGGTCTTTTTGGCTTTGTGGACCAGCAGCAGTGGCAACAAAAGGGGAGAGAGGGGAGGGTTGACTGGTGGGTGAACAAGCCTGAGCAGCTTTATTTGTGCAAGCAGTGGGTGTGCAGGCACCCCCTGCTCACTCAAATGGAGTTTCACGGACACATGCTTGCCCACCACTTGTGCAAGTGGAGCTGCATGCGCACGCTCACCCATCACTTGTGTGCCCTGTTCTGAACAGTCCGTGGGACGCAGCTCGGAGGTGGGTGATCCCTGCTTTAGAGGATTAATAAAAAGAATCTTATACAGATGCGCAGTAAAGCTTACCTCTGAAAATCCTTGTGGTGAGGGAAGACATTTTCTTTGCCAGATTTCAAGAAAGTGAATGACACTTTCCTTTGCCAATGTCTTATTTTCACTCTCAAACATTCTTTTGTAAATGCACATATGCCATGAAGGATGGAACATCCAACAATCTATGTTGAAAAAAAACAAATATGCACACTTTGCATCAGCTATTTCACTTGATTGCATGTCTGTACAAATAATTTATTTTGTAAGAGCGGATTATTTTATATAGTTACAGAAATTATAAGAAACATCACAATGAAAGCAATCCACAAAGAAAAATAATGTTAAAAACGGGGATGGCTTGAAAAAGATCTCTTCTCTCAGCCTTAATACTGTGGTGGTTTACACAAGACAAGCAATTACTTAGTCAGAACTTAAACTAATCAAAACTTTAAAGATAAAAGATGAATGCCTTTAACTGGTTCTACAAAGCAACAGAGTGGTTAATATCTATCAATGTAAAGTAGCAGTTATTACTAAGTGAAACTTCTGGATGCAATATAATTGAATGTAGAGTTCAAAAGTCACACAAGAGGAAACAAGATAGAGCTCTAGCTAACAGTCATTTTCCTAAGGTAGCTGAGGAAATCCTGGGACAAACTAAACATTTTTATTCTGCAGGATTTCACTAAAGAAGCAAAAGTGACTTACAACATCATCTGATCATTATTCTACTGGTATAGAGTACTGAGGACTATCTGACTGTCTGTCAATCTCAGTGATTATTGGCAGATGTCTCAAGTTGCTATAAGTTGTTAGTTGCAAAATGATCAAGGATTGCTTGGTTTCACGGTCTGCAACCTTAAATACTCAAAGAGCCCTTTGGACCCTTTTCCCACAGAAAAGAAAACACTGGGAGCTTCAAAACCTGGGGTGGCATGGCCAACTCATTGTCACCCCCACCCAGTCACATGACCCATCCACCCCGCCACACCGACCCAGCTTTTGTGGCTCTCAGTGTTTTCTTTGGAAAAATGGGTCTCTCTCCCTCTCTTTTCTGTTTTTGTGTTTTACCTTCTCAGGCCAGGCGAGGAGTGACTGGGGGGGGGGGAGGGGGAGGAGCAGGGGCAGCCAGTGGTGGGATCACCCAACAGGGAGCCACAGCAGAAGGTCCAAAAAGCCACATGCGGCTCCAGAGCTGCGGGTTGCTGTCACCTGGCTTAGTTGAAAGTTGGCTTCAGATATGCAGCAAGGCACATTCTTAAACTAATATTGTGTTCTGGTTAAAGCTGCCTCCAATATCAACATAAAACTAGAGAATGGGTGAAAAGAGTCTATGTCGGATAAGTGATGGCTCTGAATTTGGGACCTTTTATTTCTTGCTGATGCTTCAATGATACTGACACCCTGGATAAGATGAAATTACTGATATGATCCAAGTCCACTTGCAATCAGACTGGCAAAAATGCTAAGTTAGGAAGCAAAAAATCCAAGCTGCAAAAATCTCGGAGCATCCCTTGAGACTGTTCCTGCCCCAAAACTCTAACGCCTCTAGGTCCACACTGGTTTGTTTTAAACCAATACCAAATCCTATCCTTAAGTTTCTTTAAGGAGGTGCTGATGAGCAGTAAAAGTATTTTGCAGAATGGACAAGCAAAAGGAAAAAAAAACAAGCACGGTTCTTCTTTTATCATCCCAGAACATAGCATGGCTCTGAGGACCAGATCACTTAATTGTGAACCAAATGTTTTGTATATTCTATAAATATACATAATGTTTGCCTTGTGTATAGAAAGGTGGGATATATATCCAATTAATTAAAATGATGATTTTATATTTCACTCAATCAACAATGAATCTGTGACAAGGGTATACCAAGATGAACAAACATCAAGACTAAATGAATTTTTTAAGGGCTTGCATTTTTATGTTTGATGCCAACTACAAAGGCTAAAAATAATTCTAAAGGTCTTGAATAATCAAGCACCAGTAAATTTTGCAGAACTGAATATAAATTCAAAAACTTACATGCTGATACTATTAATAGGATACTATATTAACAGGACTTATTTTACAAAAAACATTCTCACCTTTTTCTTCTGATATTGCAAGTTCATACAAGCTATTCAGCTTTGGTAAAACTGGCTTTATTACATGTATCTGAAATTGGAAAACAGAAATTACTATATTAATATGCTTTATAAATAAAAAGCCTAATCATAATTAAGAGCTAGATATTGATCTTTTAAGACTTGCATAACAGTTAAGTGATGGGGGTCATGAAAATCTTAGCATAAATATTCTTTGTAATTCACACATAGGATTTCCTTTATGGACTTTGCATTTTACATCATTCTGCTTTTAAGTCCTTTCAACAGATTTTAAGAAAAAAATATAATTACTAAGTTTGAATCATTCCCTGTTTTCAAATTCTATCCGTTTTCTGAAGGTAAAGCTATAACTTCTATAAATATTAATGTATCCATTTACCAATAAAATAATTCTAACATATCAATTCCTGACTTCATCTACTTCTTGTATTTTACAACTTTATCAAACCCTCACATAATTTAGTATAAATTTAGTAAGTACTGTAAATAAAATTTTGTTTATAACAAAACCAATGCTTTTAGTAACTGTATTTACCTGATTTCCTTCCAAAGTCTCCATTATTAAAACATAATTTTCCCAAAACTGAGTAAATTGATCTTTTTTTTCAGCACACCACCAAAACAAATACGAACCTATAAGTAAATAAGATGCTTTAGCCTTTTAAGCAAAGATATAGATGCCTAAATTAATGTTAATTAATTTATGCCTAAATTAATGTCAATAATGCAAAATAATAATGCAACCTCTGATCCCTTCAAATAATCTTAGAAAAAGTCTCTCAACAGAAGTTGTCCAAGTGGACAACCAGAAATAATGCAGTAAGAGAATAATTCTTTCCCTCTTTGGAATTCTCAATGATTTATCATAAAATGATAAATTTTATAAAAAATTACCAGTATAAAAATTTTAAATTAAAATATATATATATATATATATATAAATGATTTATCACTTATAGCTTGTATGTACACTGAGAGCTAATGCACTGAAGACAAATTCCTTGTGTGTCCAATCACACTTGGCCAATAAAGAATTCTAGATGTGGAAAGAACCCCATTCAATTTCTCCCTCCCTCTCCTAACAAGCCCTATACTGGTACTGCATTCATTATATGCCATCAATTTGTTGTCAACTCTTACAATCAAACAGATAGATTTTATCCAGGACAATCTGTTCCCAACATGGCCCTTTAGGTTTCCCAATTACCCATTGCTACTGCAATTGAGTCCATCCTTCTTCTCAAACACAATCACTATCTCAGCCCAATAAAATAGCTATACACTATGTAGATTGGAGGCTTTCTTGCACCTCATTTGTTATTCACCAGATAATTCTTTTTATCAACATCCATCACACCTAATATATTTCCCAACTAGGTTGCATCCCACAGGAACAAGTATGAAGCAAGTTCTCCTAGATCAATTTATTGAAGTTTGACAGGGTATGAAATGGCTGTGACAATGAAAAGATGTGCTAGTATAATTTTGTTTTGTCCATAACCAAGTTTGGCTTACTTCATTCTATTTGAAGTTTAGGCTAGCATTTCCATTCATTGTTTTTAATGCAAACCAAAGTTCATTGTTAATGAAGTATTCACTAGCAATTGAATGAACAATGAACCAATACTGAAGTCCTCATTCTCCTTATAGTTCTATCCATCTTCTTTTATCATGGGAACCTTTAAAAAAGCTATTAATCTATTTCTGCATATTGTCTTGTGACATGATCTCTGACAAGAAAGAATAATTGTTCTCTAAAACAATCTATATTATAAATCCTTAGTTCCACTTTTTGCCCTTATCTGAGACCATTTAGAAAATCCATAGAGGCATTGCCATTGTTTTCTCAACTACATTTACTGTTATCCTCCATCTTTGACTGAAACCATCCTATTAATGTACCTACTGTTGATTTTATTATTATCCAAGGCAATATTTTATTAAAACATAGTTCCAGCAATTTTTACGCATCTCAATTAATATCCCACCAAAGACTTTTTTTCCAGACTATGTAAAGAGTTTCAAATACTATTCTTTTCACACAGGGAAGGCATTTTGACTGCTATCTTCTGCAATGTTTCCAGAATGATTATACCTTTTAAAAAAAAAAAAGTGAACAGAACTGTACATTTCCAGATACATATCTGCCACAAATATGTATTCCATTACAATTTTAGGTCATACAGTTCCTTTCCTAATGATCCCCACCAATAGTATTTGCTGGATTGAAATACTATCCAAATTTAGCAAAATTGACCAAGCTGCTTATGGAATTCATTTCAGAGTAAAATGACTGTGGTGAAAGGGTTTGATTATCATTTATTTCTCATTTATCATCATCATTGCTTATTGTACCCTATGACTATCATTAAGTGTTGTACCTTATGATTCTCGACTCTTGATGAATGTATCTTTTATATATACTGAGAGTATTTACACCAAGACAAATTCCTTGCGTGTCCAATCACACTTGGCCAATAAAGAATTCTATTCTATTCTATTCTATTCTATTCTATTCTACTCTATTCTGTACTTTCTGATACCTGCAAGATTTAAATGCACAATAATAGTACTCCAGATTTAAAGCAATTTATTATGCCATTCCAAAACCTAACCAGCTGGCCTTGGGCTGGAAAGCCAGCACAAACATTCCTTTTCTTACAATCATTTCACATACTGAATGCTTGCAAGATGCAGGCACAAGAGTCTTCAAACTTGATACAAGTTTAAGACTTGTGGACTTCAACTCCCAGAATTCCTCCTCTAGTCATGTTAGCTCAGGAATTCTGGGAGTTGAAGTCCACAAGTCTTAAAATTTGCCAAGTTTTGAAGACCCTTGATTTAAGCAAATGCTATTCAAAGCCGATAGATACCGTTGCCATCCTCCAGGCTACACCTGCACTCCAAGGCCACTTTATCAGATACATCGACGGCTTTCTTCAACAAATACCGGGCTCTTTTCCGGCACAGAGCATCGCTCTCGGACAGTCCCTTTTGCACCACTTCCCAAAACTTGTAAGAAAGCCTCGCATCCAGCAAGGAAGCTGCCTCGCCATCCGTGACACCGTCCAGTCGGGGAAACAGGACGTCGGAGAGGGCGCTCAGGACCAGCAGAGTCCGGTTCACCCGCGGAGTGTCGGCGAGGGGCGACAGCACCAGGCCTTCCCAGATGAGACTCAGGGCGGCGCCGTTTCTTCCTAACGCCGGCAACAGCCTGCCGCCCACCAGCAACGCTTTCTCTTCCTCCTGCTCGTCTTCTCCCTCCCCACGCAGCAGCTTCAGGGCGGCCGCCACAGTTCGCCTGAGCAGTGCGGGATCCTCCAGCCACGGCGCCGCCGCGCACAGGACCTCGACGCTGCCCTCCATTTGCCAAGCCTGAATCCCGGCGCAGGTTTCCACCACTTCGCCGGCCAACCGCTCAGCCAGGCGGGGTCCGCAGACCAAAATGCAGGAACGCAGCGCTCCACCGGCGGCTGTCACGAACCGCCGCCACCCCTCCGGCCTTTCAGCCGCCGGCACGCCGCTCCCGCTGAGAAGCGCCGGGAGACAGCGGTGCAGCGCCAGCTCCCGGGCCGCCCGTTGCGCCTCTTCGCCCCGGTTGCGCGGCCCGACACGTATCGCCCGTTCCAAAAGGAAACGCAGCGCCTCCGCTCGCTCGAGGGTGAGCGCACCCTCTTCGCCGCACACCGCCCGCAGCCACGCACCCCAATCGGGAGACTGGGAGAGCAGCGCGTCGGCCAGCACCGCATCCATGGCGATGCGGAGCCCGCGGCCTAGCAGTCAATTAGCGTGCGGCCTACTCTGCCGGGTATTTTTCCCCAGCAGCCTTTGCGCTGAAGGTGGCTATAGAAGAGGACTAGCCTGGTGATAGGTTTAGCTGCTCTTGCTAAGTTTGTTTTGGCGAGGCTTTTGCCATTCGCTCTTCTAGACGGCTGTGAGGCAGGAATTCAGCTGGAGAAGCCATTCCTCTTCTTGTATTATATACAGTATCGCTAATTTATCGAATGCATGAGGTACGCCTACTACTTATAAGCAGAGTAGGACTAGTTGAAGGATTTTGTTTAGGAAAGATGAAGCCCGGTACCTCAAGCCGAGGAAAGGAAACCCTTTAGGCAAGGTGCATGGTAAGGATTTAGCCGGCAAAAAAAGTATTAATTGCATAAAACTTGCCAGATTCGCATGTTCACTTTTTGTTGCACACTTAACAGTTAGTTTATAAATACTGATAAATAGATTCCAAGATTATGATTGCATTATAATGGAAAGCGAAGCATTTATTTATGATACTTTACTCATTATGCTGCTTATGATACCTTATAATGAGGGTTGTTTGCATTGGGAGCTGCCTTGGTCCTGTCTTAATTCCTGTGCATCCCAATAACCCATATATTGATCATACTAAGTTTATGTGCCCCTTTGCTGTGAAGATAGTACAGCCTTGTGCTAAAATCAAAATGTACGCAAACTAAGATTTAAAATCTTGTGATGGAGGTAGGTTCATATAGGAATAAATAATAGCCTTATTACGTTCTTTAGATGCAGCTCAAAAACTCAAACCGTGTTTTACACAAATGTGTAGCTATTGCAATTTATGAGAAAGGTGGTTGGGTTGACTTAATGTCTTTACAGTATTCTAGGCAAGGCAGATTACTCTCGCTGTATGCATGTTACTTTATTTTTCTTCTGTAATTGATCTCTTTTGTGTGAAGTGAGCATTGAAGCATTTCTAACATCTTTTTTAGAGAAATAAAATATATATATTTCTTCTATTTATCATATCATATTTTGACAAAACTTTATTCTTTGATATAGCAAAACTAGTTTTTGATATAAAATGACTCCTGCTAAAGAAAATCAAATAGACAAAATCCATACTTGGTTTTTCAAATAGCTTATACTTCATTTTATATAATGGCATACAATAATTGGTAAACAGTAGTTGCATTTTTATCATACAAATAATGTTTTTAGGAGGATGTGTTCAGGTATTAGGTAAGTTTCTCATTGGTTGGCTCAGTCTAAAACATGAGAGATAGATATTTTTTTTTTGCTTGATTGGGCAAAATGTAGTCAAGCTGTAGTCCAAATACTGGCTTTTTCTCCTCATATTGTGCAAAACTCGGCCTATCCAAAGGAAAAAAAAGAAAAAGAGTTAAGGAAAAAACCTGTCCAACATTCAAGCTGAACATTTCCTTAGAATCTTTCTTCAAGCATTCTCTTTACAGAAAAATCAGGAGTCTGGTAGCACAGCTTCTTACATTGTTATTGAAAAGCATATATTTTTGTGAGCTGCAGATCACTGCAACAAATGCCTAGAGTGGCTAGAACAGGGGTCCCCAACCGATCCGCAGCATGCTAGAAATTGGGCCATGCAAACAAATGAAGCCCCATCCATGGGATGCAGGCAACACACAAAACCACGCCCCCGTCAGTCCACAGGAAAACTTCTCTCCCTGGAACTGTTTCCTGGTGTCCAAAAGGTTGGGGGCCACTGGACTAGAAGACTGATACAAGATTTAAATGGAAGGAAGGCCAAGGAAGGAAACTCACATAAAAGATTTTAGGCAATTTCAGAAGGTCTCAACAAAAAATTGATTTTTAACATACATTTGGTTTGATAAGTATTTATAATCTGCCTCACCTGCAGCCTGCAGATTATAATCAATCAGCTATTTTCCACATTCTTTCCCCCTTCATAACATTCATTGAGGCTCCTCTGATTTTTTGCCATCGTAGATTAACACGCCTCTCTTCCTTCGTTTTCCTCTTTATTCCTTTTGCAGTAAGTAAACTTTGAATTTGCACCGACACCCAAAAATATGCAAGTAGGTAAGAAAGTAAACATTTTTAAAGAGTGGTTATGACTCCTTCTTTCCCAAGCTGGTGGAAAGGGGGTAGAGTGAGAATCATTTCACCATTTCATCTGTTTTACCAGACAGATGCCAAAGTATGCTGAATGCCATATACAGTCAAGTCTGATTGTTCTCTCTGTTTGAAGTGTTTGCTTTTCAAAGCAGGAGTAATCATACCGGGAATGAGTTTCCTGTAGAAACCTCTGATCATTTGACCTGATCTTCACCCTGCGGAAGGAATTGCTATGTAGGGGGGAAGAGGGGAGACGACCTGCAAAGCTACAGCCAGAAGGAAATTGCAAAAGCAGGGAAGAATTTACAGGCTCCGGATTGGAAGAGAGATCATGGTGCAGCTTTGACGGAAGAACTTCAGAAACAATTTACTGCCTGCCTAGAGTTTTGCAAGCTAAGTTAATAAAAGGCAGGGACCCCAAACACTTCAGCTTTTCAACGTCTTTGTGTAGTTTCAGATTGTTCATTAATCCACAGCCATTTATTATATGAAAATAATTTAATAAATACTACTTGGATAGTGCCATGAATATTAACTCAAAGCCACTTTTGCTTACTATCCAATCCCAGGTAACACTATCTTGCCATTGGCTGGCTAACCTTCAGGACTAAAGACTAACATGTATAGAGCTCTAGGGAGGCCCCAAAAGATTAATTCAGTCCAAGTGACCTTCAATCATTTATCAACCATCTGTTGAGTCCCAGACATTTACTGACCCCCTTTTGACCTCGAGTCCTTTATTTACCCCATTGACCTGGAGTGTTGATATTAACCACTTCTGGGGATCCTGATATAAGGCAAGGCCCACCGCAGCCCAGGCAAGAAAAACATTCTTTTCTAATATTTTCTGACTTTCATGAACAAAATAATGGGGGGGGGGGGGGACAATATCAAAACCATGTTTTCCTATCATTCAAAAATCAACTTTGCCTGTCCTCAAGTCTTAGAAAAAAAAAGACAAAAAGAATAGATCAGTGAATCTTCATTTTCACATGTCAAGTATGTCTCTAAGAACACAGTTTTTATCTTTTGGATGCAGTGAGAAGTAAGCAAACTCATCTTTTTTCATTAAAATATAAGGTATTGTTTTGTTTCTTTTCAAGAAAAAAATTGTACAAATCATTATTTTCAAATGCCCCAGTACTGCAAAGTTTGGTAAGTTATGAACTGATCGAGTTATGCCGTATTGTTTCATTTGGGATTCTACATGACTATCTTCCATAGTATTGCTCTTTCCTCAGTGTGTTCTTTTTTATATCTTTATTGTTGAAACAAGAGAAAATGATGAGCCCTTGAAAGAAAAGGTCTGCCAGTGAGATTTAATTACCCGCTTCCAGTTCATAACATTACTATAAGATTGATCTTGCAGAGAATTGTAACCAGTACCTTAGGTTGCATTCAGAACCCCAGCGGGCAGCAGGTGCAGCCCGCAAAGTAATGGGGACATGGATAGTGCATTGTGGTAGTCCAATGAAAGGGAAACAGAGAGCCAGTTTGGTCTAACAGTTAAGTCACTAATCTAGAAAGTGGGAGAACCTGCGTTCAAGTCTCTCCTTATTAGCCATGAAAGCCAGCTGGCTGATTTTCAGCCAGTTATACTCTCTCAACCCAACTCTACTTGCAGGGTTGTTGTGGGGAAAATAGGAGGAAAAGGTGTGTTTGATATTTTTGCCATCTTGAGTTATTTGTAAAATAATAACAATAGATTGATTGATTGATTGATTGATATGAATGAATGAATGAATGAATGCCCTGGTTTGGCAGTGGGTGGAACTGACATACCAGATAAACCTGTAAAAGACCCGCTTGGCCAAACATTTGAGTAGGAGCTATAAGTCCAAAAGGACCCCCAGACTGCATACCAGTCTTGCATGCGGCATAGTAATTCCACTAAAGGTTAAAGCTGTGATGTTCCCAAAAGAAGGAGGCTCAAACAAAGTTACTCGTATGTGTCAAGACTGAGCTCAAATGTTTTCTTTCAGGTCCTCATAATCTCTGGGCTCTTGGTCAAAACTTTGTCAGCCCAATATGTATAATTGGATATCATCAGCAAACTGATGACACCTCAGTTCAAACTATTGATATGCCGAGTATTTTCATGTAGACTTTAAACAAAAGGGGATAGAAAGTTGATCCCTGCAGCAGCCACAAGTAAGGGCTGTAGGCACAACCTCTTATCTTTTCTCAGCACTGACTCAAAGGGCACAAACCATTGCAAAACAGTGCCTTCTATTCAATTCCTGAACTGGTTCAACCAACTCAGTGGGGGGGTTCAATTTTTTTTACTGCTAGTTCTGTGGGCGTAGCTTGGTAGGCGTGGCAGGGGAAGGATACTGTAAAATCTCCAGTCAGAGGTGATATTTTCCGGTTCTCTAAACTATCCCAAATTTCCGCTACCGGTTCTCCAGAACTGGTCAGAGCCTGCTGAATACCACCTCTGAACCAGCCATGACTAATGGCACTGAAATCCGCTGAGAGTTCAAGGAGCATTGGAATGGACACACAACCTTCATTCCGGCTCTACTAGTACAGGTCATTGACAACTACAGTGAACTACTTTGAACTACTTTTGAAATCTCCGTACTTGAAGTCTAGCTTGAAACCCAACTGAACTGAATCTAGATAACATGGTCCACTACTTTCTCCCATAAATATATGAGCACTTGGGATATGCTTTTTAGAATTTGTTACAAAATAGAATCATAAAAAGCCTGCTGTGTCATTCTTACAACAGTAGGTGTTGCTGTTGTCAAGACTTCTCTTTTTTCCTGTTCTTACAAAGAGTTTGTTTCTTAAAATTAATGGAAAAATAAATGTGTCTTGTAGGTAACAGAGACAGAATGTCAACCTGTGAGTGAGCAAACTAGCTAGTTCTTCAGAAAGTTACTCATGCCTCGATGAAGATCCAATAGTTCATTGGTAATGTCTTTTTTTTAAAAGAATGAATGAGCTGGAAGGGATCTTGGAGGTCTTCTAGTCCAGCCCCCTGTTCAAGCAGGAGACCCTATACTATTTCAGATAAAATATCCCCATTGTCCCCATTGCTTCTTAAAAACATCCCCATTATCCCCATTGCTTTGTGAGCTGTACTGAATGCCAGTTAGGATTCTGGATGCAATCCAAGGTGCTGGTTACAATTTTCTGCCAGATCAATTTTGTAGTAATTCATTAGTTAGCTAGCTAGATGCACAGTAATAACTTGTAAATCCGAGCTTTTCAAGCATTTATGGCTATTTAAATATGTATTTTTAAATATATGGACTATGACATTGAAATGCCTTTTAAAATAAAAATTTCAAATATAGCTTCATATTATCTTTGAAGAGTCTATATATGTGAGATAACTTTTCTTAAATAAACGATGCATTTGTCATACAAGTCCTTGCCTTTTTTAGAGTAATGTCTTTTAGGTAAACTTTGCCAAATAGCCCTTGTATGTCAATTTAATTATTCATGTCCTGTGTTAAGCATATTGAACTACAAATATACTGCACAGTTCTCCATCCACAGCTACAGTCCTCACATCTTTCCATTTAAGATTGATTTTTCGGGTCTTCCTGAAATGTTTGGTGTCAGGTTTTCTTTGGCCTTCCCCTTTTTCTACAACCATCTGGTAGTATCCAATTGATTGTGGTCTTTGCTGCACGTTGCTCACTCATGCAGAGCACGTATCCATCAAAGCACGTTCTTCATTCCCTTATGTCCATTTTATAAACATGTATATCACTCACCTGAGTCCATTAATTGAAATATTCAAAAATTGCATATTTTATAAGGTGTATTACTATATTTCTTGCCTCAGACAAGAAATGTCAGCAAAAAAAAAAGATGCAGTAGACATTATGTCAGACTATGGCTA